CGGTGCAGGTGTTTGACCAGCCGTTCCACACCAGGAATCAGTTCAAACTTTTTTGTGTACATTATTTGTATGAACTCATTGATTATCTCCTGGCGATCAACCTGACCTTCCGGTAATTCAAGGGAGTGACAACAGTTAAACTGTTGTCGGACGCGACCCAAGTGTCGGCTACTGTTTCCGGTGGCGATAGCCATATGTATGCCGTGTCGGTGCAGGTGTTTGACCAGCCGTTCCACACCAGGAATCAGTTCAAACTTTTTTGTGTACATTATTTGTATGAACTCATTGATTATCTCCTGGCGATCAACCTGACCTTCCGGTAATTCAAGGGAGTCGATGAATTGGTTGAAAAACACCTGGACACTTGTTAAGTTTGCCACACCACCTATTAATAGTTAATATTCTTTATTTAATAATACATATGTTATTATTGATTATAACATTAGGTTAAATGAGAAATGTTAAAAATTAGGTTTAAAAAGTAATTTTGTATAAATTTTAAACATAACATTTAAAATGCTTTTTAGTGATATTAGTAATATCATATTACTATTATTTGAAATGATAAATGTACTGTATTAATAACTCTAAAATGATTATTATTATAATTAATAGAAACTTTTCTTATAGTAAATATAAATTCAAAATATTGTCAAAATATGGACAGACATACTCTCGATATCCTGGGATAGGGTGCGGCCCTGACTTTCGGCGTATTCACGAAATACTTCTACCAATAGGTCAGTCGTGTTGACCAGAGTTCCGTCCAAATCAAACAAGACGTGTGTTATCTTAGGTGCCATTTGTTTGCTTTTATAATTATTTCTAATAATTACAAATAAAAATTAATTTGTTATAATGAGCACAATTTATAAGTTAATTGAATTTACTATATTTTAAAATTATGGGCATAAATATAAATTTTTTGTATTAATGTATTAAGTTATTATATAATATAAAGAATATATACATTATATGAAATTTCATAGATGATAAATTAACGCATTATCTCAATGTTTAAAAGTATTATCATTTGTGCAATTATCATGCTGTAATTAGATTAGAATATTAAGTATAATCACATTATATGTAACCTTTTGTATAGTTTTATTCAGAGTTTAGCTGGAAAACTTTTATTATAATATGAGGCTAACAATAAAATATCAAAATATTTAATCGATACAATAAATAATTGATTATTTTCAAAGCATAATACAATTAAATAATTTAATTATTGAGTAAATGTAGTTAGTATAGTGATAAAATGTACTCAAAATAACAGTTACCATTCATTCAATGTTTAGTGCATTTATATCATGTCGTAACTATAAAAACAAATAAATAACAAATTTTTGTTAAATTTAAAATATTTCGTACATTTAAACTTATTTATCAAAAATATTATTTGAAACCTTCGTTTCGTAATATTTTCATATTTTAGATTTAATAATAAATATTATATACTCAATAAATGGTAATTAATAAAAAACTTTATTTGGTTTTAAATATTATATTATAATTTATAAACAATATAAACATAATAATTTATCTAAAAATAAAAAATTATATAAACTCTATTATACTCTTTCAAGGTTAAAATAAATTAAAAATTCAAACCATAATCATGTCACATAATCATCATATGCATTGAATGAAAATATAAGTGAACTAGGTGGTCAGTGTGTAACTTATATTTTATTGTAACAATTAAAACATATTCATTGAAGTCTAGTACATAAGTGATTAGAATAGAGACAATACATGGGATTATATAAGTCAAAGTAATGACTAATACGGGATGTATAAATGACCATGAATATACACATCATTTACAATGTACATAATTTATAACATTTTATATAAACAATAATAAACATTTCATTATCTGTTTTGACAAACATATTACCAAAAATATACTTGAAATATTATAACAAATAGATCACTACAATACAGCAGAATAAAATATAAAACTTAATTTTATATTAATCAAATTTAAATACGATATCTAAAATATTTATTTTTTTTATTAATAACATGTCTTAGTCATGAGCTGGTAATCCCAATGTTTCGGGTTTAAAATCATCAAAAGTATCGCAAATGGCAGTAATATTGTGGGCAATGCCTTCAAACGTACATAACTTGCGGTCATTAATGAGCAGAGTTTTCATACCGGAAGCGACGGCACCCGTAATACCGGACAATGAGTCCTCGACTATTAGTATATTATCGTAAGACTCGGGCGGAGTGGCAAACCTCTGGGCGCACACGTAGTATACATCGGGATGGGGCTTTAGGTGAATCACTTCAGGGTCATCAGTAGCGGCCACTGCGTGACTAAAATACAGGCCACCCGTCAAAAAGGGACCGACATGTTCACCAACTCGTCCTAAATGTGTACTACTGTTTCCGGTGGCGATAGCCATGTGTATGCCGTGTTGGTGCAAGTGTTTGACCAGCCGTTCCACACCAGGAATTAGTTTAAACTTTTTTGTGTACATGGATTGTAAGATGTGGTGTCTCAGGACCTGGCGATCCTTTTGACCCGAGGGTATTTCAATTGAATCAAAATATTTGTTGAAAAATATTTCTGGATTCGATATATTCGCCACTTCTCCTAGTGATGTAAATATTATGAATATTATTTATGATTAATAATTAAATAATCAACGTTATACATTTCATAACGTAACCTAACCTCATTATCCCATAAGTCTAGCATAAGGTTTTAAAAATTAATAACCCTATTTTATATACAGTAATATTAACAATGGACAATGGGGTTTTGGATATTTAATCTATTAGATTATTATTTTTATAGATATACATATAATTATTTATTATTTTAGTAAAATTATTGGATTTTAAAGTTGGTATTAAAACTTTAAATTAAAATATTGTATCTTTAAATAATAATAAATAAATATAATATCAAATCTTACTCTCAATATCCTTGGTTAGTGTCCGGCCCTGACTCTCGGCATATTCACGGAGTAAATCTATTAACAGGTCAATCGTGTTGACCAAGGTACCGTCTAAATCAAACAACACGTGTGTTATCTTATGAACCATTTTTGCATTTATTTACTAGTATAATTTCTTAAATTTATTAACTAGCTTATGATTATTTTATTCAAAAACATTTATACATAGATTAAACACACAGCACAAGTAAACCAATATAAAATTATTTTATTTTGAATTTTTCAAAATTTTAATTTCCTATATCATTTATGAAATACAATTTTATACTGTTTTCTAAGTCAACCGAGCAAGTTTATATAAAACTATTTTCATTGCACTTTTCAAGGTTGTTCATAAAATGTTTTTTGTACGAATAATGTACTTACTACAATAGCCTATTTAATATTAAATACTATATGTTACTAATGTACTAATGTTTGATTGATAAATGTTTTGCACTGTTAAGTACATATTTAAATCAATTAACAAGTAAGTACAACTATTAAACAAAAATTAATTTATCAATTACAATATAATCTATTTTATTAATTTTTCTATAGTTTTATATTATACCTTGGTGCAATTCTTATCAGTTGAATTATTTTAAAATTTATATTAACAGATTATTTTCAGACAAATATAATAACAAGTTATTTCTAATGAAAAATGATGATTATATTTGTTCAGTTCAATGCGTGTACTAGATTAATTTTAAAAATAAAAAATATTTATATTGTGAAAGTAAAATGTTGTTTTTAAAATTATATAAATTATGTGCAGTTTTGTATAGTAATGGAGAGAAACTCACAAATATATCTTGAAACTGCTATTAAAAGTATTTAATCATATGAAATAGATTAAGTCATATTATAATTTTGTCTTGATTATTTTAATTATTATACATTAATTAAAATACATCATCAATTTTGATAAACATTTTAAAAAATTATATTATAACAATAATTATTATAAAATTGTTATTTTGATGTAGACTTATGTATCAGTCATAAGCGGGTAATCCCACAGTTTCTGGTTTGAAGTCATCAAAGGTATCGCAAATAATTGTAATCTTGTGGTCAATGCCTTCAAACGTACATAACTTGCGGTCATTAATGAGTAGTGTTTTCATACCGGAAGCGACGGCACCCGTAATACCGG